CACTCTGCTATGCAATGTTTGCAGTGTGCCTGCAGCTCCCATTCTAGCCAGAGCATCCCAGGTTGTTAAGAGCAACTCCCTGCCCAGCTCTGGATGCCAGCCAGAGCCGAATGATACAGAGGCCACCAACAACTTCCCCCCGAAACGTGAACCGCCAGCAATACCCCCTGCTTCAGGTGGCGATAATGCTAGGGACTTCCTTGCTCATAGCTTTATTCAAATGTCGTTAAATGGGATCTGAGAAAATACCTATCTAAGTGGAGTATAAATTCTTACAAGCCCTAAATAAATAAATGGAACCTCATCCAGAAAAATGAATTGTACCAGAAAGACTAAAAACTAGATAGAAGAAAGATAAGAACCTAATCCTAATTAAAGTGGACATTTTAGTAACTGTACAAATCTACACGAATACATTTCTGCCATGTCTCATTATGCAGCAATAGTATCATTTCACAAAAATGTTCCACCTTTATCATTAATAAAAACAGTCTTTGGGTTGACTTTGCCTAGGCTGAGATGATTATTCCAGCATTACTTTATTATTTACCTTGCTCCTTGTAGCAAGATTCAGCGTACTTTATTCCCTGTGATGTTATCAACAGGCTTGTAAACTTCATACAGAGGCAGCTACTGCAAGCTCATTTTCTTCTGCATGTCCCCTTGATCAACATCTGCTGAGAGCCCTGTCCTTACAGCAAGGGTGTTTCTAGGGTCCTAATAGACACCTGGCACCTCTGGGCATATACTGTATGTTGAGGGACTGGTACAATATCATGACTGGTCTGGATCTAGTCTAAAGGTGGCCATAAACTATACAATAGGTACAATCTCAGTACAATCTCCTTTAGATTTATCACAAATATGTAATAAGTGGACAAACCTAAGCAATCCATTAACATTCTATCACATGAGGGTGGTCCTTGTACTACATAGTTGATGGTAGATGTAAAGCAGATTGTATGATTAGAATGTATTGTGTATGGTCAACTTTGGACTAATATAATCTTTTTAAGTAAACTGGCCTAAAAAAATGTAATGTCACATTATAATTACATGATTGAAATCAAAATCAAAAGTAGTATCATTGTTTAGAAAAAAGGAAATATTAATAGAATAAAAAAAAAAATAGATAAGTTACACAATGTTCCAAAACTGGATTATGCGCAAAATGTATCATCTCATATCTCAAAGGAACCCGAGGTGCTCAGTAGAAGACCTGAGAAATGTGCCATGGTCTAGCAACACCCCTGCCTTAGAGCAAAGCTGATTTACTAAAGAATTTGAAAATATTCACTTAATAAATTGTGTGAATCTTCATTTTAATTATCCAGTGGTGTGAAGAGCCATTTCCAGTACATTTTGAATACCTTATCAGTGCAGATAAAATAAGTAAACTGGAATTTGCTGTTCACATGATTGGATAATTGAGGCGAATAGTCACACAATTTACTGGGAGACGATTTTCAGCTCTTTTTGTAAATCAGCCCAGTTGCGTAGACCGACCCATGGGAGTCAAGGCAGCAAAATAATTTGTAATCATAATTTTTAATAATCAATGTATGGATGTGCAGTGGGATAGAGAGGGCAGAGATAGGAAGGGTGCTGTAGTCCAGCAGGGAAGAACCCAGGCAGAGTTGACAACCTTTCTTAAGAATTCAGTACAGAAGAGGCAGAGTTGTCAGCTCACTACAGGAAGTTAGGAGCTCACTGGAATTCTGACAAGATCACCAAGTATTTTTCTGTACTTGCAGCATTCTTAAAGAGACAAAGCATGGGGAATGTGGATGTATTGCAGAGATGTACTTTGTATTTTTTGGTTTATTTTTTTATTTGCAAATCAGGATGCTTTTCCCAGGTCGGTGACTAAGGAAATACTGACTCAGCTTAACAGCCAGGCAACAGCTCACTCTGCTATGCAATGTTTGCAGTGTGCCTGCAGCTCCCATTCTAGCCAGAGCATCCCAGGTTGTTAAGAGCAACTCCCTGCCCAGCTCTGGATGCCAGCCAGAGCCGAATGATACAGAGGCCACCAACAACTTCCCCCCGAAACGTGAACCGCCAGCAATACCCCCTGCTTCAGGTGGCGATAATGCTAGGGACTTCCTTGCTCATAGCTTTATTCAAATGTCGTTAAATGGGATCTGAGAAAATACCTATCTAAGTGGAGTATAAATTCTTACAAGCCCTAAATAAATAAATGGAACCTCATCCAGAAAAATGAATTGTACCAGAAAGACTAAAAACTAGATAGAAGAAAGATAAGAACCTAATCCTAATTAAAGTGGACATTTTAGTAACTGTACAAATCTACACGAATACATTTCTGCCATGTCTCATTATGCAGCAATAGTATCATTTCACAAAAATGTTCCACCTTTATCATTAATAAAAACAGTCTTTGGGTTGACTTTGCCTAGGCTGAGATGATGTCATCAGTCAGCTTTAGGCAGGAAGAAGCATTTCCTCAGTCTCCTCTCCCACAGTGATTAGACTGCAACATTGTAACGTTGTAGCCAGTGACAAGGTGAGCAGAGGCTGATCTGTGTCAGAAATTCATGAACTAGCCAAGAACTGGACTGGCACCAGTATTTTCATGATTGTGTCATCTTTAGACCAACACTGTATTCTTGAATTTAGATGCTAACCCAGGATAGTGTTAGAACAAAGATGGTGCTGTCTTTCTGGAGAGAAAGCAGATGAAGGCATTGTCAGGGCAGGTACTGTAATCTCTTTGAGAAGCAGGTAGCCCAGTAAGAGAAATACCAAAATATAACATGAAACAGAGCTATTTCCTATGCACAGTAGTAAACTAATGTTTTTTATCTTTCTTTTTTTTTCCAGGTCGACTTGCTCATTTATACTCTGGTGAGTACTGCCTATAAAATATATTGCATGGTTCAACTAAATACCAACTATTAACAAACCTAAATGAAGGAAATAGCACATCTAGAGAGGGTTCAAAACTGGTCAAACACTTCCATCAAAATTGAAAATTAAACCTTACAAAGTCATGTACAGCTTCACCTGCATGTTTTTCATGCAGGTGAAGCTGTAGTCCACCAGGCCACCTTACAACTTTTTGTAGTAAATAAAAACATTCTTATCCTATTAGGCTGGCAGATTAGATTTCTGGACTACAAAAACATATTTGTAGATCAATTGGTATCTAACTAAACTGCCACTAGCCTAAATGTGCTACTTTGCCAAGGCCCCCCAAGCCAGGAGTGAGAAACATAGAAGGTTAGATAGTGTTCTGTAAAGGCAGTCTGTTAATAAACAATAGCCTCTGCTGAATAATGTGCCCACAAGCATAAGAGGGACCTAAGTTCTATTGTCCTAAAGTCCTTGCCAAAACTTTTTTTAAAGCTTGGATAGAATGGGAAAGCTCTAGAACCTCTGGCACAGTACAAGCCCTGACTATGCCTCACTAGGGAGACTTACCCTTACTTCCTATCTAGGTGACACCAGGAAAACAAATGAGAATAACAGACATCATATCATCAGGGAGGCATAAACAATAATAAAAACCTTACAGATGTTCTAATTCTTTATACTTTACATAAAAAGTATCTTAGGTGCCCTCTCTCTTTCTCCATCATTCATTTGATCTGATCACATATCACCCAGATCCTATCACCCAGACATGCAGTGAGGGCCAATTTTCCCAAATGGGTTTGGGAATAAAATCTGACCAAGGTTCTAATGCTTTCATACTGTCTCCAAAACTAGGAAACATTTCTAGCCGGAGTCTGGTTTAAGTATGTTTTTATCTAAGAATTTTTTGCATCCCCCTTCCCATATGGGGCAAAAAAGGTGGCATATATCCAACGGGTTTTATTTTATCTTCTTGTAGATTAGGACTTGTTGAAAGTCTATTCTTGATGGACACAGAGTTCTAAGACTATCAAGATGTTAAAACAGCTAGAGGCACTTATTTCTTTCTTGCTCTAATTTAATTTTCTGTCCTCCCAGCCAGTGATGAAGACATTATATTGGAATTTAGCAGAGTTATGATAATAGGAAATCCAGCTACTGGCACCTGCAAGTCTTACATTCTGTAACACTGAAATGTGAAGTTTGAGCTGTAACGTCTCCTTATTTAAAGCGCAATGTCATCTTCTTTTACTTTTGCTTCTTTTAATATAACTCGTCCATTCTTTACATTCCCATTTGTATTTGATTACCTCGTTTGCCAGTTATTGACCTTCCCCACTCTATAGTGCCCATCTAGCCCTGTCTATTCTTTTATTTTGTGGGTTTTCATGAGTTTATTAATACATAGCCGGAGCCATATGTGTGCTCAGAACAAAATGACCCCTGGAATCATCCTAACCTGAATAAATGCTTATCATTCCCAGAGCAGCGGGTAGGATATTGGAAATGAATATATTTCTAAATGAAATTTTACAGAATTTCTTTCTATATATTTTAACTTGCATAAATTAATTTACACCATATACCATTTTCTACTCTTGTAAATATAGTAGTTTTTATTTAAAAAAATGAATTTACACTGAAAAGAGAATCTATTCGCTCTTAACCACATTAGCAGTTAATGCTGCCAATAGACAGCTTAGGAATAGCAAACAATACTCTCACTTTCCAGCCTCACTTAAAATTGCTGGGCCTTTTGCTGTTGCTAAAAAAATAATAATAATTATAAGCATTTCAGGCAGTTGAAGATATTTGTTAACCCTCTTCACTCTTCTACAGATTCCTTTTAAACCTTTACTCTTCTACAGATTCTACCTAATTCTTCACTCTCTAAAGATTGACTTTTTAACAGATCCTTCCCAATCCTTCACTTTTCTACAGATCCTTGACTCTTCTACAGATCTTTCTCAATCCTTTGCTCTCCTACAAATCCTTGACTCTTCTAGATCCTACCCAATCATTTACTCTTTTGAAGATCCTTCATAATCCTTGACTCCTCTACAGTTCTTTACCAATCCTTCACTTTTCTACAGATCCTTGACTCTTCTACAGATCTTTCTCAATCCTTTCCTCACCTACAAATCCTTAACTCTTCTACAGATCCTTCCCAATCCTTCACTTTTCTACAGATCCTTGACTCTTCTACAGATCCTACCCAATCCTTTACTCTTTTGCAGATCCTTCATAATCCTTGACTGCTCTACGGTTCTTTACCAATCCTTCACTTTTCTGTGGATCCTCCCTAATCCTGCACTCTTCTATGTAGCATGCCGATACTGCTGCTGACATCAGACATGCGACTGCAAGATGCATCTCAACAATTGCTCAAGTTGTTTGAGGACTGACAATTATCTGCTAGGTTTTTGGAGGAGGGTGATAGATGCCCATTATATTAGTAGCTTGATTAGCTTATAATAACTTGTTCCACATGTGCATATGTGTGTAAGCTTTCTTAAGAGCAGGGGCAGATATGTGACTGAGATTGGCTTCTTTATAAAAGCTGGAAAACAAAACACAGAGAGTGCCTCCATCGCGTAAAATCTTTTTTTTCCCTAAAGCCTATTTTTGAGAGCCTGCCTCGTTTATGCTGTATACCATGATTACTGCAGATTATTTCCCTGCTTGGACTTAAGCCGTTGGTGCTGTGTTATATACTGTTTGCTCTTTATAAAAGCTATTTAGAGAAGTGTCTGGTTCTGTAGACTGGGGTCAGGAGATTTTTTTTTTTAAATCTCTTGAGCAGGGGAGAAGTCGGAGCTTAGGTTACCAATGTAAAAGCAGAATATACATTGCTGCTTTATGTGCACACATCCACCTAATAAAATGCATGTATAGTCTTTTTTTTTTAAAGTGTTGAGAGGGCTAAAACTCCGAAACTGGAAGAAGACCAGGAGGAGATGGAAGCACAGGTGACGGAGGGGAGAACTTACATTGGAGTGCTGTAAAGGATCCCTTTGCATGGCAAGCCTGTCATAATGTGGATGTATGACGTGCATACCTGCACATTATGGCAAAAATCTCTGGGGGGTCCAAAAGTCTGAAATAAGTCTGGGATTTTAATTCCGCCTTAAAGCTAAACTCCAGACACAAAGTCTTTTATTGAAATATCATATATAATGTATTTAGTGTTCACCCCAAAACCATAAGTCCCAATAAGCAACACTATATTCATAACTATATTTAACCCTTTCGCTGCCAAGGACGTACGTCGTACGGAGCTACAAAAGTGCTTCCAGCTGGCCAGCTCAGTACGTCGTACGGACCTGGCATTTACAGTTCTACTATAAGCTGATGGTCGCTTTAGCGACTATCAGCTTATAGTAGAACTGTTCAGCAGACTGTCCCCTTTAAATTAATAGCTGTCATCAGCGGCTCACAAGCCGCTGATGACCGCTAATTTTAAAAATACCAATACCAGAATAGAAAAAGTAGAGAAAAAGGAGAAAATGATTGGGGCGGAGCTAGCAGTGACAGCTAGCTCCGCCAAACTTTTTCTATTGCACGGGACCAGTTGTCATTAAAATGAGAGCTTGTCGGAACCGGTGGTCATATCAAAGCCGGCTCCGACAAGCTCTCATGACAGTCCAGGGCGCCTGGTTACTAGGTAACCAGGAGATGCTGAACTGTCATTGCACACTGAGAACCCGGCGGAGCCGCTGGGATATAATGGCGGTTCCGCCAGGTTCTCGGTGTGTAATGGCAGTCCAGCATCCCCTGGTTACTAGGTAACCAGGAGATGCTGAACTGTCATT